ATGTTTATAACACCGGTGTGTGTTCCATGACAAATAAGACAAAAAAAACGGACAGTAAATGACTTTTTATTCAAAAAAATTATAATAAAGAGAGAGAGAGAGAGAAGCAAAATAAATTGAGAATTCATGATGAACACTTCTCATTATCACTATTGTGTTCGTATAATAAAAAATATGCTTTCTGAACAATATGAAATATGCGCTTGAGTATTTCTGTCTGAGAAAGAGTCGAGCCAGAGAAAAACAGAAAAAAGAAAATGAAATGAAAAGGAAAGAAGGGCGGAGAAAGCAGGGGAAATTTCGGCGCAGTTTGATGTCAAAAGTCTATACGACATTGTCGACACACACACACACGCACAATGAATTGCAGACAAAAAAAGAAAGAAATAGGAAATGGGATAATAAGAGACAATAACGAAAGTAGAGTGAATTAGAAACTAACTAACTGGCGACTAATATAACTTGGAGACATAGAAACTACCGTGACATAAAATGATGACGTAAAATGTTTAGAAAAATCAAATAAATAAAATAAAATAAAATTGAAATATTTAATAAGGGATATACACCAAAAAGAGTGGATTAAATTTAGTTTTATTAAATTGGAGGGTGTTATTTCCGTATGAACATGGGAAGACTAAAGGAAGTCACGTCTCTCACTTTCCAAGGCAGCATTTTTTATTTAAATGCAGGTAAAACAGGCGATGATGTCAAAAGCAGTGAGGATCAAGTAAGCTTGGCACACCTTCTACTGGACTGAGCATAGTGAACAAGGTCCGAATTTTCAACTCTGTAATCTAGTTATCCAGTGATTGTATATGGTTCAGAGACTTGATTCAACAGTCACCGAAGTTATTTCCAGCAGACTATGAACTTTCATGTGCACCGGTAGTATAGCGGTTAGCACGCTCGCCGACCATGGATATAGTCCGGGGTTTGATCCCGGCCACTGACGCACTCCTTTACATCGCTAAGTCAAAAATAATGCTGGTAAAGAGGGAAGGTTGGGCATGAGGCTAGCAATCCCATCCTGTAAAACTAAAAACTGCTACAGAAACTTCAAGCCTCAAGCTTGAGGCGCTATGTTCCACTGGGGAGTGTGAAGGAAAAAAACGGACCTTTATTGACATTTGTGCGTCAATAGCACAGTAGTTAGGCCTCTCACCGACCATGCACATGGTCCGGGATTTTCTCCCCTGCCGACGCACACCTGATATGTGTGGTTGGCCTGCAAAATTTGGGCTACCGATATCACATGCTGAAAATTCCATACTTTTACCAAACATACAGTGTGGAATCAAGCTGTAATCGAAAATCAAAAAGCGAAAATCGAAAAAATACCAAAAATTCGACTTCACTCCACATTAAAGGTTAGCTGACTAATCAGGGAGGATAACTGACAAAGATATTTTGTGACGAACCAAGAAAGAAGGTGCTGTCTAACAAATATGCGTGAGGGAATCGTGGCTGACTGGACACACGTTGAGTCAACTCTTGAGGGTCAACAAACACCAATCCTTTGGGTGGCATATGAATGGACGTATGTCGTAGGATGACGGGATGGGGGCGATGATATGAGCAGGAGACGAAAGCTTGTGTGAAAAATCATGGCGTCAGGTAAAAAGATAACGGAGAACTGAATGAAATGGTGGTATGCTGCTGAGGCCGTAGGTTCTACTATAAATCCAATGGAAAAAATAGATAAATGGAATAGATACCCTTCCCATGTTGACTTCAACGGTGTATACAAACTTACGTGTATCTATGGGAGCAGTTACATTGGAAGGACAGAAAGAAGAAGAGCACACATATCTCCGGTTTTTTCAACATGTACCAAAAAGCCCATGTTTAAACGGGACAAATGCTTTCAGCTGTGTCATTATCAGGCATTTCCACGACACGGATTATGAGGTGATTATATATCGCAAGATCATTCAAAATAACATTAGTAGACAAGAGTGGAATGCTCTTCAAGTTTGCAGAAGCAATCCTATTTATGTGTTGAGAAAGAAGTGGTTATCAGGCTTTCCTTGCCCTGCATGGTAGCTAGACGTTTTAATTCTCTTTCATTTCGTTAGGTAACGCTGAGAATTCCATTGTTGTATGATAATTATTGTTGTTTGGAATCAAGTGATTTGATATGATGCGAAAGATTTCCAGCTCAGATGGATGATTTTGATGTGGTGGTGTTCTCTGAGCTAGCTGAATAGTTAATTTGCGAAGCTTTCAGCGACCTACCTGCTGGGCAACATCTTCAGGGCATACTTCAGTTTGAAGTGAGCTCCTCAATTTCTCCACTAGTTTATTGGTCATCTCTTGTTGCGGGTGACCTTGAAAGTGATTCGTTGTTTTCATAAAAAGGTGAAATGAGGAAGTAGATGTCATGTCTTTTGATGGTTAGTTTATGATCATGGATACGAAGATGAAGACGAGGGACGTCCACTTTTGCCAATGTAGTGTTGTTTTTCGCATTTGTTACAATTTATTTTGTAGATCATGTTGGTTTTATCTTCTTCAGCTGTTGAGTCTTTTGGTTGACACAGAGCCGGCTGATTTTGTTGGTTTGTATGCCACGTCAATTCCTAAAGCTTTGAGGAGTTTTGCAGTGATTCCTGAGATGTCTTTTATATATGTGGTAAGGCGATTTTCTTTGTGCTTTCCTTGGAGGTCCTTTGATTAGGTAAGTTGGCTTGGGGGTATATCTCTTTTGATGAAATTTCGTTATTATTCAGCCAAAAGACTCAACAGCCATAGAAGATAAAACCAACATCACCTAGAAAATAAATTGCAGCAACTGTGAAAAATACTACATTGGCCAAAGTGGACGACGTCCCCTTCGTCTTCGCATCCACAGTCATAAGCTAGCCACCAGAAGACATGACATCTACTCATTCATATTGCCTCACTGCATAGTCACAACCATGAACATCATTTCGACTGGGACACCGTTCAAATATTAGACAGAGGAAATGCCAAGAATGCTAGAGAATTTGTAGAAGCCTGGTATTCCAGTGAATCATCAATCAATTGACACATCGAGATAGACAAAATTTACCAACCGATAAGAAGGAAATCTCACACAAAAAAGATCAAAGTTCAAATCAAGTAATTAATCAGTTCCAATACAAGTAGTCTAGAAGGTGTGAAAACACACAAAAACAATCAATCACGTCCAAGGTCCAGACATCAGGAGAGATGATTAATAAACTCGTGGAGAAATCTAAAAGTTCATTTCAAATTGAAGTATGCTCTGAAGATGTCGCCTAGTAGGACGGTGAGAGCTTCGCAAATTAACTATCCAGCTAGATCAGAGAACACAACTACATCAAAATAAATTGATTATTATTACCATTGAATGCATATATTGATTTTTTTTATCTAAAATAAACTCTCTCTGTGTACATGAGTATGCTAAAACTGTTTCCTTACCTAGACTAAACATTATCTTTAGTCTGTAAGCAGCTGATGAGAATACAACGAAATAAACAAAGAACGGAACATTTTTATTTCGCACAAACCTCTGTTGTTCTTGTTTTACTGAAAATAATGACAAATACCTTGATGTATTACTGCCACAAGAGTGATTTTTAGCCATAATAGACTTGACATTAAATTTGACCTAGTTGGAATGTCTCATTTAAAAAAATGAACATAATTCACGAATATCTGTACCAAATAAAATGACTGTTATAAACTATTTGAAATTTTTCACATAAGCTGAATAAATCACGACTTTTTTCTACACTCATGGTAAAAAAAACAATTTGAAGATTACAAATGGAACATGGATTCTTGGTACAGGCAACCGTGAGGATCCTTAGATAATTTTATTGAATGTCGACTGGATTTTGAATAATATCGTGTTTGAAAAAGTTCAGGTTAATATGCGAAATAAAGTCCTACGCAGTAAGCTACACATCGACGTATATATTTCACAGTGGCAGCGTTACACTATAAGCACCATTAACTACCAAACCAATCACAGCGAATGACCTAGAATGCACCAATCATGAAAAGGAGGCACTTTTGTGTATGGAATACATATATTTATGAAGAAAAAATTGCATAAAAAACTGTAGAAAAGTGTTACAGAGGATACCTTCTTCTCAGATGTGATAGAAACAGCTCTCAGTTTTAAGTTGGAGTATCAACACAGTACAATTTGTGCGTCGGTGGTGCAATGGTTAGGACTCTCGCCGACCATGCACATAGTCCGGGGTTCAATCCTCGATCCAAATGCAGTATTTAAGTATTACTTAGACAACGGGCTCAATGGAAGAGGGTAAACACATAGCCAACTGTCATCCCTGGGATATATTCACAATGTGATCAGCTATACGGACAATTTCTTTAGCCCTTTCGATGGGATTCATGTAAATTCCATCGAACGCTCCTAGAGTCATCTAAAAATGAAGAACAAAGAAAAGAATGAGTCAAGAAACACGATGGTTGACAGTTATCTTAGAGAGAAATTGATTTAACCTGGGAGTACTGTTCATCTGTTTCGCCAGTCTAGTTTGAGACTCTTCAGGAGTAGGCATCCACTAAAAGGGTTCGAATTCAGGACCTTCTGGTTACAAGGCTAGAGATCTCGTAGACCATTCATCAGCCACTGGGACCCGATCCAATGACCATTCCATGTACATAGCGCGACCACTAGCCAATGTCACTGGTGGCGAGTATTTGTCCTCACAGCCGACCTGCTAGATTCTACTGGTCACGATTTCTCACTAGGACCTCAGGTAACTATTTACCTGACTCTAGTGATGAAGTCCTGTAACCAACTAATAGTACTCTTTGCCTTATTATCGAAAGCTCCTATGAACACAATCCATTCTAATTAGCTAAGATTAAACTAAATAGAATACCCTATGAACTCAAGGAAATCAGCTTCAATCGATAGATAGGTCAGCAGAAAGTCTTCCTTAAGATCTACAAAAAAACCTTTCAATAAGAAAGATTCAATCAAGACAGACATAGTAGATATCGAAAAATTTTAAATGAACTCGTTTATCGTTAAAAAAATAAAGTAGGTTCAGTTATTTTCTTTATAATGCGTTGAATATTAGATTAAATACATCATTATAAAAGGAAATTTTATTATTCTTCTAATCCCTATTCTAAATCCCTAATTTGTTTTTTTTTACTAATATAACCTCAATTTTTTGAATGGCGATAACTCGCTTGTTATCTAACCTTTGTGTAATCTATTCAGCTGTTCAGCTATCTATACAGTTTTACTGGATGAACTCATTGAGAGATAGACAGGAAGTAGAATAAGAAAAAGAGAGACTGTTCTTGACTAGGAACCGTTTCTTTTTGTGTGTTTTCCACCTCAGAACCCAATGAAGTGTCATCCATCGTTAAACCATCATCAACTGTGACAGATAAATTAATAGGAGTATTGTTGACAGACAGATAAGTTAATACAACTGATATAAGGTCAAATTTTTAATGTTACTGTGCAAGCGGTAAACAAACCACCCACCCCACCCCCAAAAAATAAATAACACTTTTCTTTATATTTGTTAGAGTATTAGTCGATAATTTTCTCAAGTTCTTATTTATCTTTTTTTTTCAAGTATTGATTTTTTGTGGCGAATTTAGTTTGATTAGTTGAAGGATTTCATCATGAGCTAACATGAGTTAGAGTACCATTGGAAAATCAGCTGGGAGTATTACCAGACAGCTGTTTGAGACTCCTCAGCAATACGCAACTGTCGAGGTTCGAACTTAGAACATTCTGGTTACAAGGCTAGTGAGCTCGTAGACCATTAAGCCACTGGGACCCGAATCCTCACTGGCCAGTTCATGAATTCTAACTTCCGCCAATTTACGATATAGCGAAGAGTTACTGCTTCACTTTCCACTTGCTGCACCCTACTGGTCAAACAAAATCCTTACAAACATAAAACAATTCTTGAAAAATTGACCTGGTGCTCACTAGCGACTGTCTCTATTCAGGGAGTTACCTGGGGTTCTCGTGAGAAACCGTGACCAGTAGGATATAGCCGGTCGAAAGTGAGGACAGTCATACATCGGAGAAGACATTTCGAAGGGGTCGCATTATGTAACGAATTGATAGAAGTTGGGATTCATACAATGGCCATTGGATCGGGTCCCAGTGGCTTAATGGTCTACGAGCTCATTGGCCTTGTGACCAGAAGGTCCTGGGTTAGAACCATGGAGGTGGGTTCCTAATGATAAAGAGCATCAAACTAAGACGAAATAGTTGTCTGGTAGTACTTCCAGCAGGTTTTCCAATGGTTCTCTAACTCATGTCGGCTCATAATGGAATCCTTCAACCTTCCCTACAAAAACCAATAATTGAAAAATCACTCAGAAGTGGCTTTAGAAGTAAAAATTAAAAGTTGTAAATTACGTGGTACTCAACGGCACAAAGAGAGAAATTTGGTAAGGTTAAATTGGTAGTGAGTGAGAATAAAGGTAGTTGAAAGTCAATTTAACAAGAGTGAAGAGGGTGTGAAAATATACAAAAATGAGCATATGCGATTGATAATAGTGAATTAATTTTTAAAACAGAAGCAAATTAAAAGTAAACTTAAAAATTAAAAAAGAAAATATTAGTTTTTTTTTACAGGGAACGACTGGCTAATAGGTTAAGACCAAGATAAAATTAGTGACTGGACAAACTTTCTTCTGTATAAAGAGTTCCGGGTTGTATTGACGAATCGCCAGCGCCTCCACCATACACAAAAGCCGAAACCTGATGCCCTTTGTACCATTTGGCCTCACCTTGTGGATGATTTTGAAAGAGGACTCTGGTGGAGCTACGTGGTTTGAGCTCACCAAATGCTCGAGAATTGAGCTAGTGATTGTCTTGCATTGTCCCTTTGCTAACCATGACGGATGATGTTCACAGATGCGTTTGGAAAGTGCGCGCTTTGTGCGGTCAATATAACTAGCTCCACATGAGCAGGTTAACTTATAAACCCACAATGAGGTGGCCCAAAGCGGCAATATAAACGGAAAATCACGGAACTGGAGGACTCTTCACTGGCAATTCGTCAATACAACCTTGAACTATGTGTATACAGAAAAAGTTTGTCCAGTCTCTGATTTCACCTTGGTCTTAGCCTATTTACTAATCGTTCCCTATAGAAAAAATTTTGATTTTTTCTTTCTTTTAATTTTTGACTTCAACTTTAGTTTACTTTTGCTTTAATAATTAATTCACTATTATCAGGCTCATATGTTCCTATTGTACATTTTCACACCCTCTTCACACTTGTTCACACTTGGACACTCAACTACCACCTTTATTCTCACTACTCAACAGCAATTTAAACCTTATCAAACTTCTATCTTTGTTCCATTGAGTACCACGTGATTTACAACTTTTAATTTTTAATTCTAAAGCCACTCCTGGGTTATCACATCAATTATGTCACACACACACACAATCTATTACTCAATAATAGACCACTAAATATTTTTTGTAAGTACAAATGCGACTGTACAGCCAGCCTGTGAAGATGATTTCGTCGATAAAGGGATATTCTCTTCTCTGAATTTGTCTTTTTTATTTTCTCCATGACTCAATCAATTCACGACATAGCCCTACAACTTCACAATGTCTTCTTCGATGAGTTACTGCTTCACCTTCAACTTGCTGCACCCTACTGGTCAAACAAAATCCCTACAAAAAAACAATACTTGAAAAATTGACGTGGTGCTCACTAGCTACTGTCCCTTTTCAGGCAGTTACCTGGAATTCTAGTGGGAAGCCGTGACCAGTAGGATACAGCAGGTTGAAGATGAGGACAGTTATATATGGTAGTGCTAAATAACGAATTGGTAGAAGTTGGAATTCAAACACTGGCCATCGGATCGGGTTCCAGTGGCCTAATTGTCTACAAGGTCACTATCCTTGTGACCAGAATGTCCTCAGTTCGAACCCCTGCGTGTAAGCACTGATGAGAAGTCCCAAACTAGACTGACGAAACAGCTGTCTGGCAGTATTCCTTGTAGGTTTTCCAGTGGTTCTCTAACTGGCGTCGGCTCATGATAAAATCCTTCAACCAATTAAAAACAATTCCCTACAATAAAAACAATCAATTGACAAATCTTTTTCATAAATTCTCAAGACTCTGCATCGATTGTTCAATGAAAGAATCCTCATCCTCCAGAAAGGTGTCCCCCATTTTTCAATATCCCACCGATTTACTTTTGAAAGTCAATTAGTTGGGTAATACATGTGTTGTAAAGAGAGGAAGTAAATGTGTAAGGCTAGCAGTTCTACCTTGTGTTAAAAGGTAAAACACTGTGAATGAGTGAAAGTGAAAATCTTCAGGTATAATAAACTGAAGAAAAATAATCTTCAACAGCTCTTTAGAGATACTCTTTCTGATCTAAACGATTGTTATTGTCATGATCATGATCATGATCAAATCATTGTTGACATTACTGATTCACTTTTGTATTCAAGCGCTTCCTTCTTAATACACAATGCTGCCACACACACACACACTCTCACACACGCACAAGCGCTCACTCACATACACACAGACATACATACATACACACATAATGAAGAAGCATTTTTAAATATTAGTTGACATTTAGTCAATAAATCCTTTAGAATGGAGTCTATATATATATATATATATATATATATATATATATATATATATATATATATATATATATATATATATATATATATATACCTTTAATTAAGTCTTATTGGTTGATTGTAAAAATTTTACAGTTCACCAATAATAAATAAGTATTTCACCTGTTTATTCTCCTTGTAAATGTGAAAAATATTCCCATAATTGTCCTGTGATATATGGCGCTTACATAAAGGGTTGTTTCACACGAATAATATACACATACTCCTATACAAATATATGCATATATATATGTTGATACAAACAATTAAAAGTTAAATATTCATCACATATAAAAACAATTATTATTATTATTATTATTATTAGAGATGTTTTCTTAACAGTTAGGTAAGTAATTTTTTTTTTATTAAGATGTCAAACTAAGGTCCTTCTTTGTTTGCTGTTGTGAAAAATTAACTTTTCTGAAATTGTACTTGAAATTTAATTTGTACTAATTCAGTTTTGAAGGAAGAGGATTTTAATATATTATTATTTAGTTTTACTCCCTTAGGTTCCCCCAGTGGGACACAAGGTGGCTTAGAGATAGAGGTTTGAAGTTTCGGTAGAAGTGGGGCTTGTTTAATATATGTGTATAACTTGGGCACCGTGGTAGTAATTCCATATTAGTTTGTGACCATATATATATATATATATATATTATTATATATATATATATATATATAACTGATATGATTTATTATTGTTTTTTTAAAATTATTATTGTTCCCTTGGGTTCCTAGTGGAACAGAGAGCTTCAACTGCACGTCTCTACTTGCCACTTCTGTTTTCTGCTGTACATTTCACCTGCATCCATGTTAGTTCATGCTGTTTCAACTCCTCTTCACACGATCTCCTCCATGTCACCCTTGCACTGACGTCCCACTCGCCACTTCCCTTTCCGCTTGTTCCACTCAAGCACTGGCCTGACGCTCGCGCGATGTCACCCAGTAGTGGGCTTCTCAGCCACGAGTGTCCAATCCATCTCCACTTTCTTTTGCATATTTGCTGTTGGTGGGCGATTGGTTCTTGTTTTGTTCGTTCCCATAGTTTCTTGTTGGTGAATTTTTCCGGACCGGTCATCTGATTTTCAGTATATAGTGAAGACAGTTGTTGGTTGATAAAGGTCTGGTCTGCCACTAGCTGTTGGAAATATTGTTTGTGACCGACCCGCTACGTTTCTGATCCGTATAGAAGAGCTGACTGACTTGACGTTGTTTGTATTGAAAATCCGACCGAATTTTGTTGTTGTTGATGCTGAGTTGAGTGACGAAGATTGGTTTCCAGATTGGTTTCAGTTGGTTGATGAATGTGTTTCTCGCCGGCCTTCCTGATTCTCGCTCGATTTGACATCCTCGTCCGTTCCGACTTCTTGTAGTTGAGACAATGCTCCCTAGATGATAAGTGAATGAAGTAACCTCTTTCAAATCCCTCCCATTGATGGTGATTGGCGCTGGATGTTGCTTCTGTTATTGTTGTTGGTTGGTTGGTTGGTTATTTTCATAACCGCCGTCTTGTCTATGTTCTCCTGGAGTCCTGTCTTCGCCGGCTGCTTCTTCGACCAGTTTGTCGGTCGGTTTTCGCTTGTAAGTCTTCGATTTTGTGACAGTGACATCAAACATAAATCATCATCCTGAAACAACTGGTGTGTAGAAGAAACAAGTTCAGCCAGCCACTACTGCCCTGTTTGTCCTTCAGTAGAGACTATAAATTCATGAATTTGTAATATTATCTTTCCTTATTTTTCTAACATTCAGTTTATTGTTATGTTGATGCCATTGAACTGTAATCTATTAATATTTTTATTGATCTGATGTTATTTAAACAACGACATTAATGTTGTTCATAACACTAATCCACTCATTCACTATAATGTAGATGCAACTGTAGAGCTTGATGATGAAGGGGTTATCGAAAAGAGTATTCATTGTTCAGTATCCATTCTTCTGAAAAATTTTAATGGGCATTTTTAATCAATTAAAAAAAAAGTGTATTTCTGATTGATTTTAATGTTCAAGAGGTAGTCTGTAGGGGTTTGATTTAATTGAAGTTAAATTTTCAAACTGAAAACAAAATAAATCTTGAAAGCTAATTTTGATGGTGTTGTTAGTAAATGCCTACGAGACGTAGTTGACTAGAGTTCTATCTGAGAAGTCGTTACCAGCGACGGCCATCATCCCATGTGGAGTTACGATAAATACTTTCCAATGACAATGGCTAGTATTCGTCTTAAATTCATGAATTGTTAGAAGTTCACATTCATGGATCGGTCATTGAGTCAGGAGGGTCACAGTAGTTGGATGATCTATGAGCTTGTAATCGTAACTGATGAGTTCGAAACTAGGCCGACACAGCTGTGATGTACTCCTTGGTTTTCAATGGTTCTCTAACTGATATCAATCAATCTGTGATCGTACTACATTTTAATGTATATTTCTAATATGATGGTTTCTTACCAATCTGGAAATAAACCAGTCATGATTACAGACATATTGACACATCCCTGGTGATATTTCGAATCATATTTCGTTGCGTAAGATGTACTTTATACCTCATGTCGTTGTGTGTCCTCATTTAATCAGCTGTCGTTTAGTACTGTTGGCATGGTCAAGCCGTGGTTGTAACCAACGCGTTTTTGGCCTAACTTGGCGTTCCTATTTCAGGCCCGATGTATTGCGAAACGTAACATTTTCGTTACAAGCTGACATTTGTTGGGGGAATCACTGAGAAATAAACAATAAACACTAAACTGAATAGATATTTCATTTTGAACTGGGAAGACATTAGTGGTAAATCTGCATGAACCTTCACCAGTGGTCAGAATCAATATAGTCGTCAACAGATCGGACATTCGAAAAATTTGATACACCGCTAGTTATGCACCAACCGGGGTTCGAACCCAGCACCTTTCAGTTACAAGGCAAGCTAGTATACAGTTCACCTACTGGGACTCATAGAATTTAATGACCAGCCCATGAATTTTAAATTCTATCGATTCTTGATTTAGCACGACTACCAACCAATCTCATCGGTGGCACATAGTGGTAGAAGTTAGAATTCATGTATTGGCCATTGAGTCGGATGGGTCTTAGTGGCTGAATGGTATACGAGCTTGCCTTGTAACCTGAAGGTGTTGGGCTCGAACCCCGTTGGGTGCGCACAGCCGATGGATCCGAGACTAGGATGAAATATCTGGCCATTATTCCCTGGTTTTCAGTGGTTCTCTAACTGATATCAATCCGTGATCAACTCGTCAAAATAAAAATATTTAAGTAAAAGTTTTGTAAATGTGCTATAAATTACTGATAGAAATCCATAAGTAGTATACAGTACAACGTCGTAACTAGAAGTTAGAGGAAAAGACCGTACAAATGTTGACACAGAAAGTAAACTTTGTGAAGAGGACGAAGGCGAAGAAAAATCTCCTCTGAGTACGTTTGGTTGATGTTTAATTAACAAGAGAATTTAGGATGCTCGTCTCATTCTGATTGGATGAAATTACCATACTGGAATTCATTCACAAAAACAGTCGAATCACAAGTTATTTATCTAGGTAAGGATATGAGTTCCTTCTAGGTTGCATATACGCCGCCTTGCTGACTGGTGAGTGCTAACTAGCACGAAACCTAGGTCCAGGGCTTCCTGTGGCTGACTGCCTCCAACTATCTAATATCATGAAACGTCTGTTATCGATGGCTAAACTGAAATTACAGTCAGATGGGAAATCAGACGAGTGTTTTTATTATTATTATATTATTATTGTATCCTTTAGTTCCTAGAGGAACATAGGGCTTCAGCTGCGCACCTCCATTGCCTTCTGTTTTCTGACAACTTTTTCACCCCGCTCCAGGTCTGTCCACATGCTTTCATCTCCTCCTCGCATGACCACCTCCAAGTCACCCTTGCACTGACGACCAACTCGCCGCCTCCCTCTCGGGTTCCACTCGAGCAATGGCTTGTCTAGTGATGTCACTTGATGGTTTCCTCAGCGTATGGCCAATCCATCTCCATTTCTTCCTGAATATTTGTTTCACAATTGGTTCTTGATTGGTTCGCTCCCAGAGATCCCCGTTGCTGATCTTTTCTGGCCATCTGAGTGTTTTTATAGTCAAAATAAATAAGTAACTTGTTAGAATGTTGTGATGTACGTGAATTGAACTGAAATACAACTTTGAGATTATTTATTATCCTCCTGTGATTTCACTGACTGACTGGCTGTAATAATATCTTCCATATCTGTGGTATTTGCATTGAATCATTTCTGTTGCATGGGTTGTATGTAGACTCGATGAACCAGACAGGATTCAGTAGTCAACCTCTCTCTTCACCTACATAGATTAATTCTTCGAGTCTTAACCCTCTCCCACCCTATTGTGTGGTTGTGTGTTATTACATGCATGAAGTGCTGAGCTTTTTTCTAAATCACATATCTTCGTGGGATTTAACATTCTAAACTCGGCTAAATTCTTGTGTTGTGACAATCTGATCACCCATGACCTACTAGCTTGACCTATGTAGCTGACCTAACTCACAGTCATTGCAAGGTATTTTGTAAATTACATCATTTTGTCTAATTGGGTCAACCGACAGGGTCCTTTAACCTACAGAGCTTGTCTCTGAGTGAATTTGTAGATTTAAATGCCATCTTAATTGACTCATGTATATAAATGAAGTAAAACGTTGTGTGAGTGAGTGACTTGATATGATTATGAGCAGTAATAATTCGTGCTCGATACGTGGTCGTCAGTTAATATTACTGTATAAGACTGTGTGCGTTATCAAAATAAAATCTTGTCTATAATGCAGTGTAGTATTTATTTACACTTGTAATTTTCACTAACTGAATACCAGTAAATTAGACAACTAGAACTTGGAGACACAAGTCAAAATTCGTATTTAGCGGTAGTATTTGTATTATGTGTTTATAATAAATATAAACAAATAACAATGAACATTTACACAGCACACTGATAGAAATAGTTAATTACTATGAATTATCAAGTACGAAAACACGAACTCATTCATAGTTCAAATCCAGGTTATAAAATTTAAGAGACCAACATTCTACCATCTAGCTAGATGACTAAAATCCAACGACCGATTGGTTCTAACTTAATTAATGGTTAATTCGCAATGTGTAACCCCACCAACACTTGAAGCGACTAATGACCATCTTTCGTCTTCCCACTTGACTTCGTAGACCCCAACTATCAGAAATTTTCAATAGAACTCCAGATAGCTGATTCCTTAGTCACTTGAGTCTCAATGAACTAACTCTTTAGATGTTAGTTTGTAAAGATAGGATTAATCTCAGAGTGGATTTCTTGAGCTTGCTTATATAATGGAATGTC